CAGATTGGACTGCCTCAGCTTCAACTGAAATTCTACAAGAACCTACGATTCCATCAGCCAGCCTTAGAATGTGCTCGTCAGGAGTTAGAGCTGAAAGGGACCTTAGAGATTACCCGCTTCATTTTAGATGAGCAAACAGACCCAGAGAGAGGAAGTAGTCCAGGATCACACAGTGAGGAAGTAACTGAGTGGCGATTCACACCCAGAATTTTTGATTCCATATCCTAAAGTTTTTCATGTATTCCCAAGTTAAAAGAATAATCACTCGGCAGCCAACCAGCTAGAGATAAGCTTCTCAGGGATTGTTTGGGCTGGTGTTTGAATGAGAAATAAACAATCCATCACTAGACTTTTACTCAAAACTACTAGTCTGTACTTCACTGGCAAAGCCTTCAGTAAACTCAGGGTCATCTCCAATCCATCAAGAGGAATCAAAGGAAACCTAATAGAATCCCCTCTAATACACACACACACACACACACACACACACACACACACACCCCACAGATAAAAATGGAAGATGTAAAGATGATAATGATGGCTTAAATTTCTATAAGGCATCTAGGTCAACAACACACTTCCTTCAAATCACCCTGTGGAATAGGTACTGAAAGTATTATGTCCCTCCCCCACCTCATTTTACAGGTAAGGAAACAGAAAAGTTAAGTGACTTGTCCACAGTCATACAACAGGTGACGGTGAGAGGCAAAACATGCTCTTATTGAAAGGTTGTAAGTCACCCATCATGGATTCTTTGAGCCTTAAAAAAATTGATTGAGAGTGATAATGGAAAGAACATTGAAATGGGAGTGAAAATGCCTGAGTCCTAGTCTTCGTTCTTTTAGCACCTGTATGACCTTGGACAGGTCCCTTGTCTGTCTTTGGGCCTCAGCTTCCTCTGCTTAAAATGAAAGGCAGTAAACTAGATGCCTTTTAAAATTCCCTTCCAACTATCATAATCTATAATTCTATGGCTTGACTGATAAAGCATTGAAGCCTCCTCTGTTGAAGGAGGTTTTCTATTACTTGACTATTAAAAAATAAGGGGCAGACTTAGAGACCCGGGTATCAGGTCCCTATAATCATGGCTTCTTCACACACTGAAAAATAGAAAAACAGATAAGAAGCCCTGGAATCAAGTCTGTCATGATCATGGTTCCCTGTCCTATCTGTCTGCACCTTTTTACTTTTTCTTCTGTCTAAAATGCTAGAGGAGAGGGGCATTGTGCGCATCAATCAGTCACAGACTCCCCCCTCCCCCAATTAAACCAATGTACTGGTGTGCTCCATAATGCAATGGCTCTGTCTCCATTCTCAGGAGACAGAACTCTCAGCAGAGCATGGATAAGTTATGAGGACCCAAATTAGCAATATATAGTCCCTTTCCCTAATTTGGTGACATAAACATTGTTAACTAATATGCACAATATAGAATGCTGAGATGGCATTAAATAACAAAGCACATCTGGTGTTTGGAATATAGATCTTTGCATTCTTTAAAGGAGTCTGGATTTAAGTAAAAAGAGCAACCCCAAGAGGGCAATGTGCTTCACCTTAAAGAAATGTAAATATATGCATATAATATGAAGTGTAGTTTAATATATTAATCCATAAAATCCAGATTAACACAAGAGATAAATTGGGGTGGAGGTGATGATTTTTCATTTTACAAAAAAAAAAAATTCTTTATACTTCAGAATGGTGTGGTGGGAAGAATGCTGGTGTTGAAGCAAGGACTTTGATTCAAGCTCCAGCTCTGGCACTGAACAGATGGAACCTTGCTTAAATCACCTAACCTTTCTAGGCCTCAGTTCCCCTGTTTAAAAATTTGAAGATAATAATGCCTTCTCTATTTACAATTACAGGGTTGTTGTGAGGAAAAATTTTTGTGAACCTTAAAGCAAAAAGAGACAGATATATAGATAGAGATACAGGAAAACATTTTTGTGAACCTTAAGGCAGAAAGAGACAGATATTTAGATAGAGATATATGAACATGGGCTATGTGTGGGAAGAATACTAGATTTGGAGCAGGGGACCTGAGTTTAATCCCAGTTGTATATTTATTATCTGTATGACCTTGGACAAAGCATTCCCCTTCTCTGGAACTCAGTTTCCTACTCTGTCAAATGCGAGTGGGAAAGATTCAATTAGATGATAGCTAAGGCTCCTTCTAGAGGCAGCTAGGTGGCACAGTGGCTAGAGCACTGGGCCTGGAGTCAGGAAGACCTTATTTCAAATCTAGCCTCAGATATTTACTAGCTATGTAACACTGGCCATATCACTGCCTCAATTTCCTCAAATGTAAAATGGAGGTTATAATAGCAGATTAAATAATATTTGTAAAGCACTTAGCATGAGAAGTACCTGGCATATAATAAGAGCTTAATAAATACTTGTTTTCTCCTTGGTTTCCTCCAGTTCTAAATTCTATGATCACATTCCACTAAATAGGCAATTTCCCTAGGATATTTAAAATGAAATTTACTTGGCAAAAATTCAATTTCTACATAACGTTCGGGAGTATAGGTAGAACATAAAGGGAAAGGCATAAGCCTCACATTCAGAAAAGCTATTTGTGGTTTTAAATGCCTCCAGGAAGCCTCAGGGCAAATGCAAATCACAGGAAACCCTGTGTGGATAAAATAGGGTAGTAGGAAGCAAATGAAATGGATTGTTTTGTCCCCCCCCCCCATTCCAGCCTCCTTTTAAATTAATTAACCTTTTTTTTTTCCTTTGAGGAAGCAGTCAAAGAACCACCTCTGGAGACCCCTTTGAAATGCAATTTAATCTTCGGTATGAACAATTTACAGAAGCGCTCAAGCATGTACATACAGAGGTACTCCTTCAGACAGACACACAAGCAAGCATGCAAGCAGACTGTCTCCTTCAGTGTCTATCTCCTTGTCTCTGACCATCTCTGTCTCTATTTCATTGTCTCTATCTATCTCTTTCTTTGTCTCTGTCTTCATCTCTTTCTCTGTCTTAATCTTCTCTGTCCTCTCTCTCTCTCTGGCTCTTTGTCTCATTCTCTGTCTTTGTGTGTCTCTGTCTCTCTCTGTCTCTCTGTCTCTTTCTCTCTCTCTCTCTCTCTCTCTCACACACACACACACACACACACACACACACACACACACATACAAATCCACCCTTCTCAAAAGATTTCTATTTCTCAGAAGTCCTGTCTCAACCATGTCACCCAGAGATATCCTCACTAAGACCTGTCTGGACAGTGTTTGCATACCAGCCCTGTTCTTTTCAAACAGTTTTTGAAGCCATAACCTGTTGAGCCATCCCTGCCTCAGAAATGCATGTGGACACTGCTTTGCCATTAGAAAGTACCTTTGTTCCCCTTTAAGATGGCACCAACCTCAAAAAAGGCTAGAGAAAAGGATAGAGAGATTTTAGAAGAAAGAAAAGTTTAGAATTTGAATAGCAGAGCTGATGAGATATTTAGTCTAAACCACTCATGTAACAGATGTAGAAACTGGGACTAAGCAAGGTAAAGTGATTTGCCTAACATCAAACAAATAGTGTTGCTGTTGTTCAGTCATTTTTCAGTTGTGTCTGACTCTTCATGACCCTATTTAGGATTTTCTTGGCAAAGATACTAAAGTGATTTGCCATTACAGATGAGGAACTGAGACAAACAGGGTGAAGTGATTTGCCCAGGGCCACACAGCCTCTGTCTGAGGCCAAATCTGAACTCATGAAGATGAGACTTTCTGACTCGGCAGGCATTCTACCCACTCTGTCACCTAGCTGCCTAAGCAAATAGTATCAGACCCCAAATTTGAAGCCAGATCCAAATCTCTATATAATTGTCTTTTCTCTATAAATATGTAAAGGACTTCCAGATTGAAATAATTATTCTTATTTGTATTTATTAAGTACTTTAATTTACAGAAAGCTTAAAGGGTTTTATAAATGTATATAAAACATTTTCAAAATGCTTTTCAAATATTTTCTCTTTTGATTTTCACACTGGCCCTTTGGAGTGCTCTTGCCACCATCCACATTTTACAAACGAAAAAAATGAGTCTCTAAGAGATTTCTGAGAGAGAGCATTGAATCTCCAACTTCAGAGAGCTCTTAGGAGTGACAATTTTCCTCTTGACTGGTTTAAGGAAAGATTCCTACAGGGGATGGACTACAACAGATAACCTCTGTAGGTACCTTCCAGATCTTGGATTCAAATGTGATGCACTCACTTTAAAAATATTTACAGAGGTAAAGGGAAAATAGAGTTTATTCCCTGCCTTTTTCCCAGATGGAGAAAGTGAAGAAGAGAATGGGAAAAAAAAAGATTTTACCTAGAACAACAGAAGCAAACTTGCTGGACCTGTAACCCTTAACCTGAGGTAACTGCTGAGGTGGCTACATTTGTCAGCCCTGAAGCCACTACCAGGCCTTGAATATAAGTATATGATTGATCATATGATTTTGAGCTAGAAGGGGCCTTGGACATCACCCAGTCCAACCTACTCCTTTTACACGTGAAGAAGCTGAGTGGGTGGGGGGGGGGAGGAGAAGGGGAGTATCTTGGCTATTGGCTAAAATCATATAACACAAAGAAATTAACTCAAGTCCTTTGAATTGAGACCTATTGCTTTTGCCACTAGATACTATGTCCCAGAACAGGGAAGCACAAAGGAAAATAGTAAAAGAAAAAAGAAAGGATCCAGAGAAAGAAAAGGAAATATAAGAGGAGACAGATGAACTGGTAAAGGAGAGACCTGGAGAGGAAGAGAAGAAAGGGAGGAGAAAGAAGAAAGGTAAGGAGAGACAGTGAGGAGGGAAAAGAGGAAAGAGGAAAATAAGATAATTGAGAGGAAGGCTATTTATATGCTAAAGAGTGACAATCCTCCCCAGTCCTTCCACCTTTCCCTTCCCTTAGAAACCGGTTCACCCATACACCCCCACTGCACCCCCCCCCCCAACAACGATACAATACCGTTCCCCTTCTCCTCAAACCCCCTACGTTCAAAGGTCAGGCTCACCTATCGAAGGCGACAGCGGTCATGGAGTAGATGCTAGCGAAGACAGCAGCAATCGGGAAGAAGTTGTGAAACTTGCAATAAAACAGTCCGTAGTACCACTCGTTGTGGATGGCATAGGTGAAGTTCACTACCGTATTGAAGGCGGCCATAGAAGCTTCTGCGAAGGCCAAGTTCACCAGGAAGTAGTTGGTCACTGTCCGCATCCTCTTGTGGGCTAAGATGATCCACATCACCACCACATTGCCCACCACGGAGGTCACCACAATAACAGAGTAGGCAGCTGCCCAGAGAACGATCTGCCAGGCCGGTTGCACAAACTGGTTGGGTTCTGAGCTGTTGGAGGATTCATTTAGGGAGAGGGCAAGGTCTGAATTACTCTGCAGAATATTATCCATCGTTCTTCTTCTGGGGTCAAACCCTCCACGCACGCCCTTAGGGAGCGGAATTCTATGCAGAATAATTGACGTGCAACAGGAGGTTCAGTGTCTCCTGTCAGAATCCTTTTCACCAGAGCAGGTCTGACTTAGCGGGGACTGAGAGATTGTAGAATGTGAAAACTTGGTCTGACCCAGGAGGCTTCGATATTCTCCTCTTCAAGCTTCAGCAAGCGCTAGGAGTTTGGTTTTCCTGTCTAGGTTTTACAAGAGAAATTGACAAAAGCATTCACTCAATCGAATCACAGCTCTTGGAGGCACCTCCAAGCTCTGCAATTCTGCAACCGTTTTCTTTGGCGAGGAAAAGGGATGCTGCAGGAGCCCAAGAGGCACCAGACATGGTGCCACTCCAAAAGTTCTGAGCCAAGGGCTAGCGATCTTGAGTCAGCTGGGGCAGAAGCACAGTGCCCCAGCTGGAGAAGGGCCACCTGATTGTGTACTGTCGCACAGCAGCAGCAGTTGCAGACCGCCTGAGGTCCCTCAGGCTACAGCGTGGACGCCCCCTCGCTCCTTCCTTCTCTGCTCTGGAGGTGCCAGAGCCTCTGCTGGGCGTCTCAGGGCCTTTTATAGCGCTCTGCAGAGACGTCACGGGTAAAGGGGGAAGTGCCTAGCCTGCGGACCCACTCAGTGGCAACAAGCAGGCACCAGCTACACCAGATGTTGGCAGATATATGTCCCTGTGCTACTCAATCCTTTCCCTGGTTCAAGAGTGGAGAAAACAGATTGTGTGTGTGTGTGTGTGTGTGAGCGCGCGCGCGCGCGTGGGTTGAGGGGGTGGATCTTAAGAGGGGCCAGAACCCCTCTTGGGACAATTGCACTGGAGCGGGAGCGTAACTTCGAGGTAGCTATATCAGAGATTCCTGCTGGTTAGTATGTGCGTGGAGAGGAGGAGTGTGCATTACACTGGGTGGGGGCGGGAGGGTATCTCACTTTAGGCAAGGGCGGGGTGTGTATTATTAGGGAGACGTTGCTAGGGACTTCCAGAGTAAAGCTGGACCTCTCTGGGGCTAAGAGGAGACGCACAGACCCGTTGAGTGTGAAAGGTGTGTGTCAGAGATGTGACACCTCCATCCTCTGATGCTAGTCTCCCTGTTCGACTCACTCCAACCTCAGAGGGAAGCAACCATCAAGGAAAAGAAAGCAGGGTAGTAGTTCAGTTTGGAACTTTGGTGTTTAGTCCAGAGAGTAGGGAAAACGACTTTCCCCTGGGGAATTAGTGGTAGTGAGAGTCGGAGCCTTCTTTCCAGTTTTTCTACTTTACATTTTCTCCCCTAGGATTAAGATGCATAAACACATTAATAGAATTGTTGATCCTTAAAGACATCTATCCCACCCAGCTGCACTCCTTAATCCTAGTTTCTGGCTCGAATGGTGGTGGGTCGGGTGTTTCCGTTCCCCGGTGCACAAGTGACCTGACTGTCGCTTTCTGCAGTGCGCAGTGGGTTCATTGGGCTTGTCCCAGCTGACGGCTTGAGGGACTGGGACACCGGAGCCTAAGCGGAGCGCGCTGCCTGAGCTCTGCAGGGAAAGATTGTGACTAGAACCATCTTGTCCTAGCCCTGTCCAGCACCCATCCCCCACCCCACCCCCACCCCAAGGAGCAATGCCCGGTACTCAGCGAGAGGCAGCCAGAGGAGGGGACCCGGATATGGTCTGGACAGGGGTAAGGGAAAGGTTCTTTGCCTTCGTCTCCCCACCATCTCAGAGTTCTTCCAAGGGCTGTCGCCTAGATCCATTCTGTTGGCTTGAAATTCAAGGTTTGCTTCTAGCTCTACAGACAGCAGGGCTCAGTTGGAGCCAGGCTTGGGGCTGAGAGTGCGACTATCGGTTTCAGTCAGCCTTTACCAGAATCCCACCACACAAAGTGTGGTTAACCTACCCCGCGGCGAAATAATTCACAGTTGGCTCTGGGCTTGTGATCTCACCCCATTCCATCCTCACCCCTGCAACCCTTAGCTGTGCCAAAGCGCACAATGCCAAGTCCCGGGAAGGGATAGCAAATCTTGGCTCGCACATCTCCTTCCTCCCAGGGGAGCGTGTGGCATACGCAGTTGGGCATACTTTGCCTCTATGCCCATGTGAGGATCACAGAATTCCACAGTGATAAGTTGGAAACCCCAAAATTCATTCCATTTTCCCCTTCTCTCCCTCCTCCACCCATTTTCCAGTTCCTGGAACTACGTAGGGGTTCCTTTTCCCTTCTGCAGTATTAGTAATAATAATATTTGGCATTTCTCTTGCTTGAATGTTCACTAAGAGCTTTCTTCGAAGAACATTACAAGGTAGGTGGTCTGAATATCATTGTTCCCATGTTATAAATGAAGAAACTAAGACAAGTTAAATAATTTGCCCATAGTCACACAATTAAGTGTTGAGGCCAGGATCTGCTCCTGACTCCCCCATCAGAATCCCTTCCTCTGTAATACCACGATTCTCGATAAGAATAATCATCACCAAAACAATAGCTTATATTTACATAGCGTTTTAATGTTTATAAAGCCTTTTCCTACAATAACCCTATGAAGTAGGCAACATAAATATTATTACTCCTTTTTTTTTACTGATGGGGAAACTGAGTCTGAGGCATCACTCCCCTTTCTCTTTTATTTTCTGGTAAAGTTGCTGAGTGCATAAGAATCCTCTTTCATCTTCCCTTCTTTCAACCCTACCAAAGCAGGGAGAGAGAACCGTACTGTCCATTACCTCCCGTAGTCTATTTATATTGTGTTGCCTGTGTTTTCTTTTTTTGTTTGTTTTAATTTAATGCAATAAAAATCACAGATTTACATTAATCATCTCCATACTTTAGACTTCAAGAGTAAAGCAAGTGGATAAAGCATCCTGTGGGGAAAGTGGGAAAGAACTAGGCACAAATTAGGATTTTGGCTAGGACCAGTCCTGAACAAAACCTTAGCCTCATTTGCACTTCACTTTAAGCATATATGAGAGACCTACTTTGAGTCTGTCATTTTATATTAAGCATTTCTAACTTTTGTCTCTTCCATGTCCACACAGTAGTTATCTCATCTACACAATTTCTCTTTGAGTACTCTATGTTCCAGCCAAACTGAATTACTAGTTGGTCCTCAGTCTCATCCATTCCTCTCCTTCTCACTTGATCAGAACAGATTGTCCTTCCTCATCTGCACCTGTTGAAATTCTTTTTTTCTTTCAAGGTCTAGCTCAGGACCACCTCCTCTAGGGAGCCTTCTCTGATTAACTCAGATTAATGATCTCTTCCTTCTCCAAATGTCCTAGAGCTACAAGAGTACCACTGTGCACTTCATTATTGTTGTTTTCTTTGTTCCTCCTTCATTTTTTGAAAAGGACCAATGGCATCATGGGTGATGACTTGACTTGCCTGTGAATTGGTTTAAGTTAGACAGAGTTGAGCAAAGTCGTCAGCCTCATTCTCTCTTCCCGAATCATCAAAGTCCAATGGCAGGACAAAAGTCAAGACAACTAGCTATGGCCTGGGATGCAGCAGATGACCTGGTGTCTTTGATGTCTGACTAAGGTCTAAGCACTCCACAGCACCTGCTTCAGCCCCCTTCATGGCCATTGGAACAAATTGCTCTCATCTGCCCATTCCATTCCAATATAGAGCAAAGGTTAAAGAAAATGAACAGATAATTTGCAAAGGGTAAACAGATAGTTGCAAACTATTAATAACTACAGCAGAAGACTCTCAAATTAACTAATAACCAGAATAATGCAAATTGTGATAGACTTAAGATAGTGCTTTGTACCCACTAGAATCAAGCAATAAACATTGATTTATTTTGTTAATATTAATGTATTAAGCCCTATGCTAATTGCTGGAAATGCAGAGATAAAAATGAAATACTGCCCTCAAGGAGCTTATGTTCTAAATTCGATGTTGATGAGGCTTAGGGCAAGGAGGCACTCTAATAATGCATTGCTAGTCAGACTACAAACTGGTGGAAAGATTTTGGAGAGCAATTTGGCAATATGCATCTAGAGTCACAAAACTCATCACACTTTTTGGTCAATGGATTCTATTGCCAGATTATGTACACACACACACACACATTTATGTGTGTATGTATGTATTTATATGTATATGTATATATTTCACTATTTATATTTGTACAGAATAGTCATAGCTTCTATTTGGAACATTCCCAATCTGAAGGGGAGAAAAACTCAGTGTTTCTAACAAATGGAGAATAGTTGATTAAATTATGGTATATTAAGACAATGGGATATTATTATGATCCTTCAAAATGAGAAATACAGAACATACAGAAATACAGAACATACAAGTGCAGGGAGATCATTTATCCATAGGAATGCTGTTAGGAAAGCCAGAGAGTTTGCTTCTGGGAGGTATGCGCAATAAAGGCAGGAATTTAGAACTAAGGATTCAACCAACTAGGATAGCTCTATTGGGTTTTCCTCCACTGTCTTTGCGTCTAGTTTTATTTGCATGGTCACTGAGAGTATTAACACTAGAAGAATCAGACATACAATTGACCTACAATTTAAAAAATAATTTTAGTATAATTTGCTATAAGTTCTCCTATAGGTGCAAATGCACTTTACATACAAATAATTACAAACAGATATTATAGTTTTCCTTTTAAATAAAAATTTCCATCCAACTATCTTTGTTATATTTGTCTTACGGGTTAAAAAAAAATGCCCTGTGTCAATTGATGAAGCTTGGTCCTTTGAGGCATTCTTAAATTCTGAACTTTCTTTAATGAGGCTGATGCTAGCAGAGGAAAGCAAAGATGTCCAGAGCTAAATCAGTAGAACTAAAATTATAAATGCACTGTATCACTAGTCATAAAGTGCTCTGCATTAGGGACAGGGCAGGGCAGGGCAGAATTAACAAGAAGAGAAAAAAAAAGGACGGAAGGAAGAACCAAAGGTGGTAGAAATTTAGAAAGTCTTGAATTACCAATCCAGGACAAAAACATTTGTTTTTCTTGGCAGCATTAGACCTAAGTCTTCCTGACCCAAAGGATAGACTCCAACCTACCATGCCATGTGGCCTCTCTTTAAATTTATAATAACATTTAAAAAAAATCCCTACAGCAATTTGTCTGACTCTCATTTTTATCATCTTCTACCTTGTAGCATGTTAACATATATGTATATGTAATATGTGTGCATGTATATATAAGTATGTCATATTTACCCCCAACCCATCCATTATACTGTAAGATTCTTGAAAACAAGTACTATGCTTTTTAAAACCTCTGTATCCCCAGTATAGAATATACTGTCCACAATAGATTTTAAAAATATTCTCCCTCAAGTCCTTTCTCATCA